TAACCTGGGGAGAAAGTCCAGGGCTCAGTATGCTCCTAGTTGAGCTAACATGGTTGGGCAGAGGCCTCGTAAACCTGTGGTCTGGTTGGGGAGGCAAACTGTGGGAGGGAGAGCCTCTCTGTAGGGGCCCTGGGACAGTTTGCTGTAGTTGGATGCTTTGGTGCCATGTGCAGGGGGGAGGAGGTGGTTGGGGCTGCCAGTGAGCTTGGGGGTTTAGCTTGTCCACCTGCATCTGGAGCTGAGCCAGAGTGCTATGGGGAGCTCCCAGGGCAATGCTGTGGGGTGAGCCTGAGGAACTCTGCCCACTGTGGGTGTGCTCATGATGAAAACCACCCAGCTGGTGGCCTGGTACACTCTCCACCATTAAAGTGCCTGAGAGGACATACACACAGAGACAGGATGAGCATAACAGGGAGTGATGAAATATATACAGTACAGAAAGAAAATTCCAGAGAACTGTAGGGAGATATATGTAAAACTCGAGGCAGTTAGTAAGTAAAATTATGCTAACTTGGGTTACAATTGGATATAAGCAACAAAAGATAACAATTTCAATTAATTTGTTCCATTTAATCAGTTACTGTATAAACTGTGAAAAATCCACATGTGATGGCATTAGTTTTCTTGTTTTTATATTTCAAAATGCTATGTATCCAGTTTACAGTTATGGAAATTCTGCTTTCCTCAGACACTTCTGTTGACTAAATTAGACAAATGTTGCATTTCATTATGATTGTCAGCCTCAGATGAATATAAACAGCTAGACAAGGATTTTCATTTAATGCTGAGCTCTGCTCTCAATGAATCCTTCATTTAGATAGATAGATACGTTATTGATCCCACAAGGGAAATTTGTGTGTTACAGCAGCATGATGAAGAGTAAAAACAGTACAGTACACACCATGTAAACAACACAATTAAATAAAATGCCACAGGTGCCTAGTAAGGGGGCTTATAGTGTGAGATAGTCCAGGAATTTACATATTTACAACAGTGATAAAAAAAAAAACCCAAACAAATAACAGTAAAAATGAAGGTAGTTCAAAACAGTCAGAGTAAAACTGACATTGTGTGAGAGAGAAGTGCAAATGCATTAATAAATAATAGGATTTGTCATCCAAGTTTTACTGGCCTCCAGCTAACTCCCCGTGACCATCTGACTCTCCTCATGCCTGTTTATTAATACTGTGCAAGTCTCACTTAGATCACCACCACAGATACAATCTTATGGAAGAAGAATGCCCCTAAAATTGTTAAGTAAAATTGAAATAAAATTTCAAGGTATACAAGTTTACTGGAGCAGAAAACAAATAATCCATTCATTCTCAGGGCTGTGGATCACATCATTTGTTAATCTCTTACCCAAATCAACATTTGAGGCCCAGTAAGAGGCTCGGCACTGGAAGCGTATGGTGCTCTGCGGTACGAATGAAGCACTGCATTTTGCCTGAAGGAGGTTTTCGATCTGAAACAGAATCTGCAAACAGAAGGAATGTTATCAGTCATTTTCAGAGGAGGAACATGCATGCTGCAAAAGCCATATGCTTGCGCTTCATCACATCCGAGACATACTAGGCTTAAAGACGACCTGAGATCAGGAAAACAAGACTGTGACAAGATACTGCTTTATGGTTAATTGATTAAAGAGCCCTCACCAAACGTTTACAGTACAAGAGGGCCGTGCCTCCATTCTTGGCTGTGGCCCATTTGATGAAGTCGATGACATGATCCAGGTGTTGGGAGAGATAGCCAATGTCTTCCTGTTGTTTACGCAAGAGACTCTCATGATCTTTTGTAACAGCCTGCAAAAAAAGAAAACGAAAAAGAGGAGTGCAGTGTTAAAGCAGCTTGAGCGGCGGCACTCTGAGCCTCGAGGCCACACGAAACTCACCATACAAATAACATTCTTCTGGAAACAACACCACAGCAAGCTACAGGACTACAGAGTAAAACTAGTCCATGATAGTTTTACTACACAGTATTGTTTTGCTGCATGTAATCGTCTTTGTCATACCTCAAGTTGATCAAGTAGAATTTTGCCCTTTTTGTTTATCGCAAGGATTAAACTGCTGACAGATTTCTTTATTTCATCACATACAGAAGTACGGTTCTGTTCCACCAGAAGAAGTCTGAAAAACATACATTTAAAGTGTGACTAAGAACAAAATATACATTTATTAATATAGAAGAAGTGACTTTTTTTTAACTAGACATCTTTAAGGAAAAATGAAATACATACCCACTATTTATGGAGTCTGATACCTCTTCTATCAGTTTCTTTTTCTCCTGTAACTGATGAGTCATATGCTCCATGTGCTCTTTGTGGTTTTTATAAGCATCTTTAAGGAACTGATAACTAATTCAAAAACATTAGTGAGTTAATACAGACAGGTTAATATGCATAATATGCATAATGAACTGGGGGGTGGGGGTGTAACTTAATCTCTCAGTGAATTTTTTTCTCCGCCTCAAATGCATCACATGGAGAGATCACAGTATCAATCAAATCAATCCATGAACAGTGGTGAAAAAAAATTGCAATAATAATGTATTGTGAGTGAAGTATTGTGATATCATTTCGAGGGGTGCCTGGTGATTCCCACTTCTGTCAATCAATATTACTGAAACAATGCGGTACCTGTGGTCTTTATGCTTGGTGAGTTGGCAGTCCCGACAGGTAAGCAGGTCACATGTCTCACAAAAGAGTTTCAGTGGCTCTTGTTTGTGGATATGACAGAACATCGGCCTCTGATTCGACACAACACAAACGTCTGGAAAACAGCAAAGGGTTATTTTTAAACTAATTCTTACAGTATAAAAAGCATGCAGTGCATACTGATGTATACTTATCATTTTGCCCATTAAAATATTGCGGTAGCAAGAATCACATGATACGTCAGCACAGGCATTAAATTTTTTTAAAACAGCTAAATGAGCAGGTAGGTTTGAGTACCTTGTGATACTTCTGACTTCTGTCTGATCATATGGTCTTTGGTGAATTTGACTCTTTGGTGGGCCTCCACACAGGTGGTACACAAGTACTCCACACACTCAACACAAAACCCAGCAGCTTCAGTGTTGTCATTGCAGGTCATACAGAGCTATAGAAAGAGGAGTCAAGCATCAAAAGTTAATAAATATTTGGAAACATGACGTGGAGATGATGGCTCGGCACATGTTTTACCATTTCTTGTTCAATCAAGGGAATGCAATGATGACCCTTATCTGCTAAGTTGATATCAGTGAAGTTTCTACTGACAAGCATTGCTTCTGCTGCCCAGATTTCAGAGCTACAAACCAACAGAAGACAAGGTAGCTTTGTTTTTATACAGATATCTCCTTTAATATAGTGTGCACCTGCCCATTAAATCACTGCAAATGGAAATCATCTAGTGCCTTATTCTGGTTCTTACAAGAGCAATGTTTTTTTCTGCATGGCCAATGACAAATAAAAAATACAAGTAAAACTTACGTAGTTATATTTTGATAATTACCCTCAAAAACCCAGCCTGTCCCCAAATTGATATTAATTCATTTGTTACCAACCTGGACTGCTCTCTCCACCGTGCTGCTGGGAGCCTCGAATGACTCCTTCACGAACATATTATCCACCACATCTGCCGCCATACATTCCTGCCTGCACACCGGACAGCGGATCACGTTTACTGGAATCAAGCAGGAGCATAGGTGTTGGTGTAAATCAGTAAAACTGTACATTTCTGGTATTATTTACCATCAGATTATATTTTTTATGACATTTAGACATTTAGGTGATTATGGTTAGAGGTAGCTACAAGAATTTGTAAAATGTATGCAGTTATGCGTGCAGCTGCTCTGGTTGTAGAAAAGGTTGACAGCCATTAATCGGTCCTTGATCTGTGTTTGTAAACAAAGTGACTCACGTGGTTTGGTCGCGCCGTCGTCGCTCTGGGAGACGGACGGTTCCGTCACGTCCAGATTCCTCGACGGTAAAGGCAAGCACCTCTCGCAGAAAGTGTGCAGGCACGGCAGAAGTTTGGGCTCCTTGCTATGGAAGCTTAGATGACAAACGGGGCACGTGTCCAGGTCATGTTGGTCGAGTGCACCGGACCGCTCCTCTCGCGTGCTCTCTGCTTCGTTCTCGACTGACAGGACAGCAGTATGTCCCGACTCCTGTTTTTCCATCGCATCCATCGGAAACAGTTTCTGTTCTCCAAGTCTAGTTTACTCTGATTCAACGGCACGTACAGGGAGGGTAGTCTGAAGCGTAGGCTATATCTCATTGCTCTCTAGCCGAAGAGAGCGCCTTCTTCGTACCTGCGTTGTCCTCCGCGCGCTCTCTATCAGTTCAGCATTTGTAAGCGTCGAGGGTATTATTGTCTACGTGTGATATTTTGGGGAAAATAATTTTTGGACTGTTGCAGCAAACAGAAAGCACTAAAGAAAAAAAAGGGTACCTGTGTCGCATGCTCGTGTGCCCCAGATGTTGTTGGTCAAATTAGAGCGCACGCGCTCGTTGAGGTAAGAGTGGGGCGGGGTCAAAATCTTGATATGAGAGCCACTGGCTGCGTGTGCTGTGCTATCAGGAGGACAAAGTCCACTGAGCAGCAAGAGTTTGCCTGATTCTTGTTATTCTGAAACTTTACACAGGGTTCAGTTCAGTACAGTAATACTGTGTTATGCTTCTGGTGACGTTATTTATTTATGGCACTTCATGATAGGCTGTGTGAAATTCAAATGTATTAGGTTTTGTTGGCTTCAGGCTTCAGCCAGGCCTATGGACATTTTTTTGTAACGTTGTAACACTGTTTGCTGAAAAGATACTCACAAAGTGCTGGTGTCATATTCACATTTGATTATGATTATAAGAGTGTTTTTGTTCTCAAGCATTCTGAAAAGCTGGTGAAGAACTGTTTTAAAAATGGACACACTGCTCTGGTTCAGATCAAAGTCACTTGTGCAATTGAGTGGAAGATAATGTCTTCATGGTTCAAGGTTCATGGCCAATCTATGGGTTAGCCTTGAGAGAAGTGCGCTGCAGTTCAATTGTCCACATTTTGGACACAAACATGAATCTAACAGCGGAAAGCCACAGAATCCCTTTGAGTGATGGTAACAGTATTCCACTCCTGGGACTGGGCACCTATGGGGACCCTCAAACGGTGAGGAAAATATCACGTAGTCTCTGTATTTCTAGATTTAGATTGCTGTGTTTGATTCCCCGTTTATGCGAGGCTTGTTTACCTTTAGTGATTTGAGTTTCACTGAGAAGTACACACTGTGGCTGTAGCTTAAAAAAATCAAATAAAATGTATATTTTCTGTGAATTTTTTTAAAGACACCCAGAGGCACTGCATTGGACTGTGTCAAGCTGGCCATAGATGTGGGCTACAGGCACTTTGATGGGGCGTTGATATATTTCAATGAGCATGAAGTGGGTCAAGCCATTAGGGAGAAGATAGCTGATGGAACCGTTAGAAGAGAGGACATCTTTTACTGCGGAAAGGTAATATTTGTTAGCTTTTGTTTAATCAACTTTCATTCCTATAAACCTATAAGAACTAATCATGTTATTGCAATGGTCTGTTGCCTGGATGTTCAGGTTGTTTAAATTGTTTTTTAAATTTAGCAATGTTATTTTTCTCAGCTCTGGAATACCTTCCATCCACCAGAGTTGGTGAGACCAGCCTTAGAGAAGACATTGAAAGCCTTAAAACTGGACTATGTGGATCTCTACATCATTGAGCTTCCAATGGCCTTCAAGGTTTCTAAAAAATAATTTTACTAATTTTTACAGCAAAGTATTTTTAATTATTTATGCAAAATTAGATAATAGGGGTTCAAACACAAGAGCTGCATAGCAAATACTTCAAATCTGGCCGTTGCCACATTACACACATTAGAATCAGATAAGATTATGTAGACAGGTGTTTGGTTAAGATTGGGTACCTGGAATCAGTATGTTTCTTTGTTTAAGCGTTTTGACCATGAACACATTGTGTCACCTTAGGTCACTATAAATTATATGCTTAAATAACCACTTTTAATGCAAAGTATTTAATTATGCATATATTTTAGCCTGGAAAGGCCTTTTATCCAAAGGATCAAGATGGAAACTACATCTACCACCACACAGATCTCTGTGCAACATGGGAGGTGAGCTCTATTAAAACAATGGTCATACTATGTAAAGTCTTTGCATGTCTACTGCTCATCTCTAATATAATATCACTATGAAATTAAAAATCTGTTGTTTTGTTATGTAAATTGAAATACTTTTTTACATTTGTATTAGCAGCTTGCATGAGAATATGCTTTTCCTCCACATGTCAAGCTAAGCATGACTTCATTGCAGGGCTTGAATGAATGAATCCCGATCAGCACATCAAGGATTTCATTCTTCATGTAGTTATGTTATCATAGGCAGAAAATATTAAAATCAACGAGCAGAACTTAACACAACCTTTGTAGCGACATCATAAAGCCGTCACTACAAATGAAATCTAACGATTGAGCTCTTGAGCCACCTCTAAGTTCTTTATACTTTGATTTTAGGAGCCAGACTTCCATGTGATGTTTAAGAGGTCTTGAGAACCAGTTCTCCAAGCTATTATTCTTAAGTCATTGGGTGGTTTTCATTTCTGCATTTCGGCCAGTGGTGTCGGGGATTCTGTCAAAAAGTGGAATGTAGAACCGAATGGTTATCACTCATTGATTGGCCTTCCGTGACCCCAGATCACAATGTTATTGAAGCAGTGTTGGATCATCTTGACAGAATGGAACAAAATGCAGTCAACACTGAAAGAAGAGCTTTGAATATCCTTCTAGCAGCCTGGAGAACTATTCTTGAAGACTACTTAAAGGAGTTGCAGACTGTGTTAAAGAATAAAATTGGGCATGTCTAATAAACTTTCAAGCTTGTTAGAATTCTAAAAACTCTATTTTGTTATATGTATAATTTTATATTTTGGTTAGTCTGCACCTATTTTCCATTTTGCAAAATATTTCTTTAAAAGGGAGATGGCTCACGACTTTTGTATTTGCATTTGTACTGCATGCATCTAATAAAATATTAGGTAGGCATTGTTTTATCTTATTCAAGTGTTCTTACATGTTAATACTGGTCAGAGTGTTTTTTTTCTGCAGCACATTACTCTCAAGGACAGTGTCATAAACAGTTTTTTTTCCTTGTGTGTTGTATTTTTCTTGGCTATCTCAGTTAGCCTGTAAAGATTACTACTATCAATCTTTGATAAGATATTAATATTTTCTTCTGTCAGGCTTTAGAGGCTTGCAAAGATGCTGGACTGGTTAAGTCCCTGGGAGTCTCCAACTTCAATCGCAGGCAGCTGGAGCTGCTTCTGAATAAACCTGGTCTCAAACACAAACCCGTATCCAACCAGGTGATCCCAGTTTGTTTCCTGACCCCTAATGACATCTCAATGAGGGTAGTTTACAAAGTAAAAAAGTACTGTACGGCATACATTAGTATTCTGGGTTTTTAATATGAAGGCATTTCTAAAATAGACTCTCTGCCAAAAAATAGTCAAACACTATGCTGAAATACATTTTCTTTCATTAATCTAGATTAAATGGAATAGATTTTACTTTTGATTCCCATCCAGTTTCCTTCCTACTTGTAAGACTGAGCCCTGTCATCTTTTTCCCTTCTTCTTATTTACCTTTAGGTCGAATGCCACCCATATTTCACACAACCAAAACTTCTGGAGTACTGTCGTCACAATGACATCGTGATTGTTGGCTATTGCCCAATTGGCTCCTCCAGAGATGCATCTTGGTAGGTTTGAAAATATATACACTTATGTAGGCTGGTGTGAGGTCATTGTGATTTTATCCCCCTGTTACTGCATTAATGTGAGACTGCAAAAATAAAAACAAATTATTGTTGTTACCAAACCCTCAACGTGACCCTAAGCAGAATTCATTTGGTAAATGACATGGTGCATATTTAACTGTGTCTCTTTCATAGGGTGAATTTGAAATGTCCTCCTCTGCTGGACGATGAGGTGCTTGTATCCATTGGGAAAAAATACAACAAAAGTAGTGCCCAGGTGGCCCTGCGCTTCAACATACAGAGAGGAGTTGTAGTGATCCCAAAGAGCTTCAACCCTGAGCGGATCAAACATAACTTCCAGGTACTGTACCAACATTTTTAACTCTATGTGCACGTAAAGTCAAAGTTATGGTACCATTGCTGCCCGGTTTTAACTCTTACATGCATTTTTGGTTATATTTGACCATTTTGACATTGGAGAACAGTAAATATACCCAAAATGCCACCTTTCTGGCCTGAAATTTGATGATGTTCCCTAAAATGACCCAAAATTAAAACTATTTTAAAATGTTAAACTTTTGAGCAGGTACTACAAGTTTTTGTAGGGTGATGCGCAGCCCGCATCCTCAACTCTGCTGTTTAAGCCCCAAATGCATTTTCCTTACACATGTGGCACATTCAAGGGGAAATAAACAGGCCTTGCAACAGTGTGAGATTTATTGCCAAGAAGCATTGTTACAACAAACAAATAATCCACCAAACACAAATATCCGTAGGTTTTGCAACAAGTTTAGTTATAAGTGTAATTATATTATTAGCCTACACTGACTGGTGCTTGTGCTTTGCACCTGTAAACAAAAGTAAGCATTATGTAAGAAAATAATCGAACAATAAACTAATTAGGACCCATTTTGTCTGAGCTAAGTGAAATTAAAAAGAGATTGAAACAGGGATCAAAAGAGGGATTAGAGGTCATAAGATTATAAAGTCACCTGATCTGCCATTTCAGTAAATGTAAGAAATGTGCAAATGCTGCACAGGCAATGCTTTGAATGCTCAGACTATTTTGCAATAAGCAAGTTTTTTACTCTAAGTTTAAAATAATATTGAATTCACAAAGACATGAGGACAGCCTTTAATGTTTGTAGTGATTATACATGGTTATGCAATAAATCCAACCAGTTCCAGAATGGTTTTGCCATTTTCACCTTTAATAAAATCTCATGAAATCGTTATCGCTATTATTTTCATGTGTAAAGTAAATCAGGGCACGAGATTGTGCATAATATTTATTTTTCTCCCTGCTCTTTGAAACATTAATTAAAAATTAATCCCCCATTAATGTCAGCTAGACTATTTATACACTCTAAATAGATGTGTAGTTCAGACTTTGTTGAATGAACAGTTGAATGAATGAAATAATGAATGGATGAATTTAAACAGAAGCAAATTATTTTTTTCAGATATTTGATTTTTCACTGACTGAGGAAGAAATGAAAGCCATTGAAGCACTGAACAAAAATATTCGGTTTGTTGAGTTGCTGATGTAAGTACAAGCTTTGACAGACAAATATCTAAACATTTTTTTGTTGTATAATGCATGAACCAAATCCTCGATATTAATGGTAGTAAACACTTTTTTTTTTTAAACTCAGGTGGAGTGATCATCCGGAGTACCCCTTTCATGATGAATACTGACCTTTGTAACTTTTACATGATGTACTTGATTTTTAAGAAAGGTGGAATAAATAACAGAGAAATAAAAGTTCACACATTTGTTGAACCAGCTTAGTTTAGCTTGCTACCAGTTTGGTACATTTTCACTCTAAACACTAGAGGTCTCTAGCTCACAGTGGATTAAAAGAAGTCTAACAGGCCCATAATTCATTGTTAATTTCACCAGCATAAACAGCAGCTGCATTTAAGACTAAGATCTTGAGCTATCCTTCATTTCTTTAGATTTGCATCCAAGGAGACAGACATTTTTTTCAAATTTTTTAAAGTGGTCTTGAGCAATAGTTCTCCAAACTTTCTGCAGGTCTTTCAAAGTTTTTCTTTGGATATTGGATAATTGAAAATCATTTTAGTCCAGTACCATTTTCACAGGAATGTATCTTTGGGCACTTTGTTACTAGTAGCCTGTCACAAAAATTCATGATTTGTTTGTGTATTTGAAAAATGCCAGTGATAGCACAATACAATAGTACTAACGACAAAAAATGAAATACTATTTTTGCACCAATACAATGATAGCCAAAGAGCTATTGGCAAAACATTTGGCATTTCTCACCATGCCGTGCGCTGTGTCCTTAGAAAATCTGAGGAAACTGGGTGAGGAGAGGACAAAAGAAAAACCAGGCCTAAAAAAACTATTGGCAGCAAAAATCTGTCTAAAAGTCATGTCTTCACGAATAGGAAAATATCAAGCAAATGCCCGACATAAGACCTGAGAGATGCATCTGGCCCTTCAGTTTTTATCAAGTCTCATCAAAAATGTTCTCAGTGGAAGAGCGGCTGTCAAAAAGCCATTCTTATCAATCAGAATCAGAATTAGCATACTTTATTAATCCCTAAGGAAATTATGTGGGTGCAGTTGCTCCAGTACAGTAACAGAAACAATACAATATGTTACAGATTTAAGAAATAGCACAATATATACAAATCACTTAATATTAAATTATCAAGGATCAAGGACTGACAAAGATGAATAATAAATATCAAGGATTGACAGAGGTGATTATAAATTAAACTCAACCAACTATGTGATTGTTGTGGTTGTGTGAGTGAGCCGTGGTGTGTAAAATGCTTTGAGTGCTCAAGAGGAAAAGCACTATAAGAACCAATCCAATGACCATTAACTGAAAATCAGTGGCAACATTTATTATAGAGTGAAGAATACACTTTATATTGTAGGGTAGAACCTACAATAATACATAGAGAGAAAAACCCAGCAATCATATGACCCCCTTTGAACAAGTACTTTGGCCCAGTGAGGGGCGGCCATCTGCCGTGACCAGTTGGGGCGAGAGAAGGAAAACAGGATAAAAGACATGCTGTGGGAGAGAGTCAGAGATTAATAACAAGTATGATTCAATGCAGAGAGGTCTGTTAATACATAGCGAGTGAGAAAGGTGACTGAAGAAGAAATACATGCATCATGGGAATCCCCCAGCAGCCTACACCTATTGTAGCATAACTAAGGGAGGATTCACGGTCACCTGATCCAGCTCTAACTATATACTTTAGCAAAAAGGAAAGTTTTAAGCCTAATCTTAAAAGTAGAAATAGTGTCTGTCTCCCAAATCCAAACTGGAAGCTGGTTCCACAGAAGAAAACTGAAGGCTCTGCCTCCCATTCTACTTTAAAATACTCTAGGAACAACAAGTAGGCCTGCAGAGCGAGAGCAAAGTGCTCTAATAGGGTGAAATGGTACTACAAGGTCATTAAGAGATGGGGCCTGATTATTTAATACCTTGTATGTAAGTAGCAGGATTTTGAATTCAATTGTGGATTTGACAGGAAGCCAATGAAGGGAAGCCAATATAGGAGAAATGTACTCTCTCTTTCTAGTCCCTGTCAGTAGTCATTGTAAACATGTACACAGGAGGTCATTAGAGAGATACAGCAGTGAGCGTGTACAGTCATCTGTATTACATCGTGGAAGTTCTGTCATGGTTTTGAGGTGCATTTCAGAAATGGTGTTAGGGAGCTTGTCAAAATGACTGTCAGGGCACTAAAAGTATATCTGGATAGAAAAACACACACTATGACACCTTAAGAAATAGTACATACATATTTGTTTTGTCGTCTTCTTCCCAAATCTGATTTCTATGTTCTATTAGCCTCCCCAAAGCCCTCAATTATTGAAGCAGCATGAGATCATGAGATATTGACAGAGAACAGAATAAGCCCACAACCAAAGAAGATCTTTTAATGCCCCTCAAGATGCCTATAGAACTATTCCTGCGGACTACTTTTGCAGGAAAGTGTGCCTAAGGTGATCATTCCCAATATTGACTTTCATGCTTGTCAGAACTGTACAAAGTCTGTTAAGCTCTATGACCTTATGTACTGTTTTTGCATGTATCTTTGCAATTTTCAACAAGTCTCTGCAACAGTTTCGCAGGAAAGTATTTTAAGAGGAGGGGTGGCTCAAGACATTTTTAAAGTACACTAGTACACTTTATACAACAGATTGGAGATGGATAGGCTGAGGAGTAGCTCAATTCTTCTTAGGCAGGCCTTCTTGTAGGGTGTATGCGACTCAAGGAGGCCTGATTAAAAAAAGAAATTACATCAGAAATTATGCTTGGGCGGGGCTTTTCCCACTTGTGGGTATTTTCCATTCAACGGTTATTTAGAATTAAAGAATATGTAAAAGAACCGGAGGCATATTTCAGGGCATGTCTGCACAGGTTTTTCTCTCCCCGTCACGTTTTTATTCAGTAAAGTCCTTTGTGTTATAACGGAATAGGATGTCGGGCCACTATGGCAACATGTTTTCTTAAGTTTGAGGTTTTCAGTTGTTGTGTTACTTATGTCCTTATCATACTCCAGAAAATATAGCAGTATTTTAATTTAACTAAAAAGGTATCAAGTAAGTGTGATACAAAGACCAAGATCATTTTTATCCATGAATGGAGGGAACTGTACAGCTCCTGGGAAAGAACACTGTTGTCTATAAGATTATAATTTTCTCGTTGCAGTTCCTCCTCTGCAAGTTAACAAACTAACACATTTTCATGTTGAAGGTTCCAGTGTAGTGTTTTGGACAATGATCGGTGGGTTATCCAAAAAACTTAAAACCATTTTAAACCTAGCCACTCATTTTGAGAGGCTTAAAACTAGTGAGACAAAATGATATAATTTCAATATATGATGGGGTATTTTGTTGTTTTTTTATACCTTGATGAAAATCATTATTTTAAAACACATGGAAGTCACCAACTGCTATGTTTGCTCCCTTGCTCTGCTGCAGCCACTTTGATCTTCGCATTCACCTTTATTCACCATTAAAATCATGGATGAGGCAAGAGTTGTCTGTCAAACATTGATGTGAATTGCCTAATAATGTCTGTCTTGTTGCTTTAGAGAGGGTAAATGAGTTCATTTGGATCAATTGGAATTACAGTTGTGGGTATTTTATGACTGGCCTAATGCTTCTTGGAAAAAAAGCGTTTTTGTAAATAGCTATATAACATCTTTTTTTAACCTTAACCGACACATTTTAAGGTCGCCCAATCCAGTCAAACTACTGTGGATTAGATTTTAACCTATAGTCTCAGCAAGCATTAAACAAGATGTGTTTACACATATGGTTTAACCAGCACACTTCTGTTTGATCTGTGGAGACCAGATGGACCCTGGAGAATGCACAGAGCAAGCTTGTTACAGGTAACAAAAACTAAACTAAAAACTAAAACGTTGTATAAAAAAACATTTTGAATTAATGAAAATATATATTAAAGTTACACTTCTGAAAAAAAGAAAACTAACTGAAATGATTTTGTGAGATTGAAAAATGAACAAAACTGACATTAGATTTAAAATATACCGAGGATATATCATTTGTTGATTATTTGTTTTGCTTTATTTTATTATTTACATGAAATAAAAAATAAAGCCTATATATAGAATTCCAACCTGTAAGAACTCTGGCACAGGGGATAATCAGAGTTGTGATTTGTGGCTACACACTTAAGGGAGCAGCAGAAAAAGATGAGGAAACGCAGCCCATTGCTGAGCTCTCCAGTGTCTTTTACCTGGTTTTGCTTGTCTACACATGTTGCTACAGAAGCGTATGAAGTAGTTGTAATAATTTAAAGCAGTGGTTCCACCTTGGTGAAGGTCAGAGTTGCATTTTTATCTATGGAAAGGGGCCCTATGGGCGACAAAAAAGCTTAGAAACCACCGATACCTGTCTGTACGTGTTAACAGCAGTTAAACTATTTTTTTAGACGAGTTTTTGAACTTCTAAGTTTCTCTTCTGTGTTTTCCTCTGTTTGTCTGACTACTTTACATACTCTGTATTTTTCTTTTTTGATGTAACTTTGAAAAAACTTTACTTACAATGCAATGCTCATATTTGCAACTTTTCAGATGCCCTGTGTGTTCAGTTTGTCACAGTAGAGGAAACTAAAGGGAATCACAGATGGCTTCATTTGTATGGATAATGCATACGTTTTAAAACGATGGAACAGTGGGGGAACAAAGGAGATGGAGTTTAGTGGGTTGGTGGGGGTGGGGGTGGAGTTAAGAACATCTTAACTCTGTCCTTAAATCTGTCTCCACCTCCACACAGATCCTCTGCATTGTGACCTTATAACAAATGCCTTGAACTAGACCGATCTGGACCCCTGTGGTGGGAAAAAAAAATCTGAATGGGCTTCTGGGACTGTGAAGAAGGATTGAGGGAATAAAGCCTCCTTTTTCGTGGTCTGAATTAATGGTGTTTTTGGAGCCGGGACTTCATGAAGCAGGATGGATATTTTAATTCCCAGGAGTAGAAAAATACTGAAGAGAGACAGCAGAAACAACTAGAACGATTCGTTTGAGCAGATGATTCAAAGTTGCACATTCTAAGCATGATGCATTTCTGCATACCAGCCCCAGTAACAAACATGACTGAACATGTGTGCTGATGGTCCACATAGTCCAACCAGTGTCTCCACCGTACTAGTTGCTCTCAGAACAGACCCTGGGAGAATGTGCGCGTCAAAAGGTTACGTAATTATCCCACCACGGTAAGACAGCACAGACCTCTAGTGTGCAGTGGGGAGTTGGTGTGTGTGCATTTCAGTCTGGGGGTGTCTGAATAGAAATGGATGGCAGAGAATGTGTGTGCGTGTGTGTCTGTGTGTGTGTGTGTGTGGTGTGTGCGCGCGCGCTTATGGGGCAAAGCAGAGGGAAAATCACTCAGCTTCACCAAAGTTTCCAATTTCTCAGTTCTCCGCCCCCTTCACTATATAACAAGCGTGTTATATAGTGAAACCTGAAGCGGCAGCAGAGCTCCATATGATCTGCTCTCTCCTGGAAACTGTCACACTTTAACACTATGAAAGGTGAGTAGCTTTGATTATTAAACACTTTATATTGTTCTGGGTTCACAGATGAAAAAAATAAGTGAAGTCATTGCTCCAGAAAGCTTCAAACTTATTTGGTACAGAAGCTTAGTGAAAGCTCTTGGGACACTTAGTTTATTAACCTGATCTCTGCAATAGTTCTCGATTTGTCCATGAAGTGCTGCTGTGCAAAAAGACAAAAACAAAAAAACATACTAACATTTTTTCAGCAAGCCGTTTCCTTCATTGTCTGCAGTTATTAGTTCTGTTCATTAAAAAGAAAGCCTGCAAAACCTGATTAAATGCACTTCTCATCTAAAGCAAGAGCTTTTAATTAAAACGCAATTCTTATTAACTAGCTGTGCTTTTCATTGCATTGTGTCTATCAAGCATTAATTTTTTTCTTAGATGTAACACCAAAAATTACAAAATGTCAGAAAAACTGATTGATTAGCTCAAAGGCTAAGCTTATTCATTTATCTCTGAGACGACTTCTCGTGCAGTATTTAACTGATGGCCGATAAATCCAGTGTCCACATACAAGCAATGCAACTTACAACGTGTGATTTTAGAGTAGATGGCGTGAGACGATTTGATATAGTGACGACAGGAAATATACACAGCTGGCCGACAGTGTGGTGTTCAGTATTAAAACGTGATGATGAAAACAAAGTGTGAGGAAAATAGCCTTGAGAAATCTCCGTGCTGTTGGTTCTTGGCATCTCACAGTCAAATAATGACCGGGGCTCCTCTTCCTAACACGTGCACTCAGAGCAAGTTGCACATAATGAGGCTCCGACCGTTAGCTAACAGCAGTGTGCGGTTATTTCGTAATGGATCTCTTCCGAGAACAGGTTATGGCAGGTGTCGTGCCAAGGTAGTTATCCCCGACAGAATTTGTTTCCAATGCGTCGGGAGCGCGCACTGGACAGGGAGCGCGGATCCAGTTGACTCCTCTACCATTCCAACCAAGCAGGCGTGGAAACTGATATGCTTTAATGAAAAAGTGAAAGATGAGTGTCGTTACATAACCGTTCAGTTTGTAGCTTGCAGCAGAAAACGTTACATTCAGTGTTCTTACGTGGTGTCGGAATTGATTATTCATCAACCCGAGAACTTGTTGCCTAATTACAGGATAATCGCAACTGTGTAAACTTAGTCTGATTGTTGGACATCGATGGAAGTTATGTCTGCTGGAACCAAAACTACACCTTTCTGAGTACATCACTGAACACAACCGTTTTAGTCTTGTAAAACACAACCTAACTAAGCTGTAGAGGGAGGAAAAATAACCCGTTGATTGTGAAATAACTTTGCCATAGATCAAGTTGTTGAGTTTTCTTCCAGCCTATCTGAGTGATAACAGATTTTTTTTAATACATTACTGTTTACAGTCCCAGTGAACTTAGAGCAGGGGATGTCAAACATAGTCAGAATCGATCGGCAAAGACTGCAATCCGGCCTGCTGAATGGGTTTACAAAATATTAAAGAAGGTATAAATATTGGAAACTTAACTTAAAAAAAAAACTTTACAGTTTTCACTGCTGATAAAGACCTACCCTACAGCCATTCATTATGCACCAATGTTCAGTTCAGTAATAGATAAACAATTAAATGACAGAAAAATTGCTATATTTCACTGTCTACTATAGAAACGTCCGTTTTATGAATATGGGACAGTCAGTGAGCTGCTGGAACCTTTTCTGTAATTTTACACATGTATCATGTAGAGAAACTGAGATGTGCTGCCAAAATTGTAATTGTAAATTGTAAAAATTTCATTATTTCATAATCTCAGGGATTAAATGTGGAAAGTGTAGTTTCACTCTTTGAGCCCAATTAAGATCAAATATCCAAAAGGCTGATTCTGTTCATCTGAACGTAGTGTTTTCAGTGGGAGGAACGCTTCGGCACTCATCCAAGTGACTTCTTCAGTCTCAGCTGACTGCAGGTTTTCACAACCTTATAAACAGTACATTTGCACAATGACTTAAACTAGGCCACTGATCAATGGTCTTTGATCAATGGTTGTTGATCAGTGGTCATGACAATTTGCACGTCAATGATCAAGTTGTGCACAACCATTACAAGTAAACTTTTTAACTTCTTTCCACAGGCTAATTTCCTTATAGATTTACAGTATTTACGTTCACAGTGTTACCCACTCAAAATTAAGTCAGTCTGATTTTGGATTTGAAAATAATAGCCCTGTGAATTCACCTATATGGTCAGAGGGCCCGGTGGCGCCTGTGTCCGGCAGCCTCGCCTCTGTCAGTGCACCCCAGGGCAGCTGTGGCTACAATGTAGCTTGCCATCACCAGTGTGTGAATGTGTGTGTGAATGGGTGGATGACTGGATATGTAAAGCGCTTTGGGGTCCTTAGGGACTAGTAAAGCGCTATATAAATACAGGCCATTTGCATTAAAAGACAACTTTGGGTGGATCAACTGAATGTAGTGTAAAGCGCTTTGGGGTCCTATGGACTAGAAAAGCGCTATACAAATGCAGGCCATTTACCATTTTATATGTGAATATTTTTTGACTCAGTTCAGAATCCTATTATAAGGACACAAAACCCAGATCTTATAATATAGCCCTACTTATCAGGCAACATTTTGAATACTAAAAATTTAGTTTACAATAATTATTTACCGACTTTGATGTATTTACAATACAGCACTGGACCACAAAGTCAGCCTAACCTTCAGTCAGTCGGCCAGTCATTCAGTAGCTCAGTCTGTCGGTCACTCAGTGGTTCAGTCAGCCCATTATGTTTCAGAAAGAGGAAATGTTGGCTCCGTTTCCTAGGAAGAAGGTCCTTTTTGCCTCCATGAGCTTGTTCCCAGTTTTGGCACATTTTCTCACAGTGTGCCTCTTCTCTGATGTCCTGTATTGAACGTGTGTGAATACCTACTATTTCAGCAAGGAAAGGCTATTGTAAGTTCGATCTTTTAGAGCCTATTAAAATTATGCTTTTTGAAGTGAGGCACTTGGCCCACAGAGAAACTGTGAAAAGGGGAGGTAAACTGTGATCTGGCTGCAAGGCCACTCCACTTTTGTTGAACTGAGCCTTCATTCCCACCAAGTAGCTTCCGAAAACAAGAGCTCTATTTTTTACCTCGGCCACAATTTGGCTCTGCCGCTGAGATTTTGGCTCCTAAAGTGGTTCTAACCTCCATCCCTATGTACACATCACATACAAAGTCACTTTTGTGCTCCACCTCTGCCCTTTATCAGCAGGAGCGAATTCCTGAAGATGGCTTCACACAAGGCTTTGTGATAAATGAACCTTCTATCCCCCGTGCTGTTTTCAGAAGTAAACATAGAAAACATGGAGAAACTACTCCTGTTAAACTAGGTCACACTACATGTAACTTGTGTTTGTGTGGATGTTTGGGGTGAAAAAAGAATTGGTACATTTTTGTAATCGGATTAGTGTGAGCGTGTTTCCTGCAGAAGGATGCAGGACTGCAGCAGTGACCATAATGTGTTCCAGAGAGAGGAAAAAGGGGTAACAGACGGACTGTGAGAAGCCTGTTAATGCAACCTGACAGGAGTGAGCACAGTCAGTGAGCTGTCTGTTTCCTCCATAGAGAGAAATTCTTTCAGTAGTGCTGGCCCCAAAACAGGGTTTGGCAGAGGTCCTGACCAACTTCTAATGTGGTCACATAACCTCAAGTAATTGCTGACCTCATTCAACGCACAAAAAAGATGGCATACATTTTTGGCTTTTGTAAATACAATAATAGATGGCACATCATATAAATGTTCACCAAGAACTACCCAAGGTCCTGAAATTGCTTAATCTCCTGTTGAGGTTGTTGGTGCATTATCCTGAATGCAAACATTTTCACGGATAAAAATGCAGAAACAAATCTCAGTCAGAATTGTTGCAGCTGCGTATCATCACAAATGTATGGAAACACTTTTTATGAAGCAATCAAACGTGTTAATTTTATAGAAAAAAAAGTTCAGTCTGTACGAACTGCTGTCATGGTTGAATTGAAATGAGAGTGACTGGGACAAATAATGCATGACGTTTTTCAGCAATCTACCTTTAAGCTCTACTGAAATTGGACAAGCCATAAATGCCTTCTGAATGAAAGCTTTATTCTCTGCCTTTAAAACAAATCCTGACACTATGTTATGTTCAATTTCTTAGGTCAATCAAACGATATGGAAAACACGTCCAAGGTGGAAGCTTCTAATGGGCACAGCAGGCCGCTGGACATTGTACCCAGTACAGAGGAGAAGATGACAGAAAGGGGACAATGGGGCAACAAGGTTGAGTTTATTCTGTCCGTGGCAGGAGAAATTATTGGCCTTGGGAATGTCTGGCGTTTTCCTTACCTTTGTTATAAGAATGGAGGAGGTGAGTGTCGCCAATGAACGTTTTTTGCTCGTTACCTCGTTATCTTGAGATATCTTTAGTTTATTTTTGCATTTACATAGTCATACACTGCATCAGGGTCTGGTGGCAAGATTACAGCCACAAGACACTTCAGATTAGTAGATGTAGTAGACTTTATGCATCATTTCCTTTCCTTTGGAAAGAGTAGTCTACCTAGCATGCAAATTAAACTGATAAACTGCAAGTGCTTTGCTTGAAAGTTGGATTAATTATAATTTTTTATAATTACTATCGTATGCATTAGCGTTGAAAGAAAAAAAATACATGAGCTAACGTGTGAAATTCCAAGACAATCAATAAAATAGTGAATAAGTAGGCCAGGCTTGTTAAATCCTTTAAAAATATGAAGAATGAGCCAATTCATGCTTAACTTCTAGCAAAATAACTTTGGAGCAGGATGTTTTACTAGAAACTTTTTTGCAACCTTACCTTGCAGTATGTGTACAATAACTTCAAGATGCAGCAGTCCTAACTGCACCACATTGCTCAAGGACATGTTGAAAACAACTTAGTCAACTTTTCCTTCAATCTGTGTGTGTACAGGTGCCTTTTTTATACCATACCTCATCTTCTTGTTTGCTTGTGGGATCCCTGTCTTCTTCCTGGAGACAGCGTTGGGTCAGTATACCAGTGAGGGAGGCATTACCTGCTGGAGGAAAATCTGCCCTTTGTTTGAAGGTAATCAACTTGTTTTCCCAAGAAATCATTTAATGGATATTTTATGGTGTTAACAGTACCATACATGGATACATTTGTCTAATTCACGTGTTAAATGTAAATATGTCTGCAGCAGCTGCCTGTGAACTACAGAGTATTCCTAACAAAAATGTAGAACAACACTGAAAAAAGATACAGTACAAAGTAAATGGATATAGGGGATTGCAAGTTGTGCAGGGTCGAGTGAAGGAAACAGTCATGTAACTGAAACTTTTTCCTTACTTGGCGATCGTGGCTCAAGAGTTGGGAGTTTGCCTTGTAATCGGAAGGTTGCCGGTTCGAGCCCCGGTATGTAAAGCGCTTTGGGGTCCTTAGGGACTAGTAAAGCGCTATATAAATACAGGCCATTTACTTGAACTGACAACTTTGGGTGGATCACATCAGACACAGCACAATTAGCTTCAGTGGAGCTTTAGTGTTTACAGGCTGCTGTTAACAAGTGATAAAAACAGATTCAGTACATCTCCAGCTGTGCTTCGACTAGTACATGTCACAAGAATGTGACAATATTAAAGTACGCCTCTGTGGAACTAAACAATACATTTGCACAGTTACCTGACTGTATGTTGGTTCAGCGACAGGTACTGCGGAAAAATAATGACCTAACTGGCCTGACCAATCAAGTCAAAGGATTGGTAATAGTGGTATTTTATTGCTTATCACCAAAAGCGTGTTTTCTGTTTCAGGCCTGGGTTATGGCAGCCAGGTAATTGTTGCTCTGCTGAACATCTACTACATTATTGTGTTAGCCTGGGCCATCTTCTTTCTGTTCCACTCCTTCACCTGGGATCTGCCCTGGGCATCCTGCAACAATAGCTGGAACACAAGTAAGACAAAGATTTTGTATCTCTGTTTATCATGTAAACTTAAGAAAATTCTTATTGGTGTTTATGACTTTGCTGTCCACATAGGGTAAATTTCTTTAATGGCCATATTCTAACACAATACATAAATACAATATTCAAGTATCTTACACTGTCACTATGAACAATAATGGAAGAGCATCTTTTTATTCTCAATAGACAAAAGCAGCAAATGTGACCTACACACAGTGTCATCCATGTCGGGCAGTTTGGATTGGTTGAAAAGCCCTCTCTGTAGGCTGTCTATAGATAAATACATATATAAATGAACACAATTGTGATACAATAAACTGAGAAAAAGGGATGCTGATCATTTTTATGTTGGTTAAGATCATAGAAACCAGCCAATTATAATACCTCATTGAATTTCTGTGATTGGTCATTTCTGTCATACAATTTTTTGTATTCAAGTGTAGACAACCTGTCATACACAATATGCAACATTTCAGAACAGTTAATATCCATGTAAACCACAGGAGGAGTGGAAGGGGCAGACTCTTTGTTCTTCTTGTCACTGACAGTTCTTTGGCATCTGTATCTGTATGTTTGGAGTCACTGCCAACTGAATTACGATGTTTAAGAATTTTAGCATGTGAAGTGCCGAAAAATTTTGCCGGTGCTGCAGATACTATTGGTGTAATCTTTAATCAAGGATACCTAGGTCAGCATCTCTAAAGGTCTCTAAAGACTACTTTTAGGCATGCAGATAAAACGTCCTTTTGTGATTTTTTTCTCATATTTTTGAATAAAGGGAGTGAATGCTGCAGGAAAACTGTTTCTGTCTGTCTCAGTGTCGGTACTTGTTTGTCTTGCCTGTGTGTAACTTGGAAACCTTGGAGAACGCTTGGATTTCTTCACAGGATTGAATGTCTTTTTGTCTGTCCTTCATTCAAGATTCCTGTATGCCATTGCAGAAGGGGAATACCTCCATCAATCACCATGAGAACACCACCTCTCCTGTCATTGAGTTCTGGGAGTAAGTGTCCTTTTGTTTGACCATGTCCTCAAATGACCTTACATACCAACAGATTTACTAAACAAAAAATTTCTTCTAGAGGTTTGGATTAAATTAGGTCAAACTACTTGTTCAAAGTTGTCTTATTTTTGTTTCTCTCCGCTTTTTAACTCTTAGCTTCTGGTTCCTAAGGGTTTGTATCAGTACATTAGGTATGATAATTAGTTTTTCTCCTGTGCGTATGTTTTCGATTTAGGCGCAGAGTACTGAGAATATCTTCCGGTATTGACCACATTGGTTCTCTGAACTGGGATCTGGCTCTGTGTCTTGCCTTTGCATGGGTAATCTGTTACTTCTGTGTATGGAAGGGAGTGAAATCCACAGGCAAGGTAAAAAAAGAAAAATAATAATAATAAACCCTCCCGTGCTAAACATTCACAGTTAGAACAGCATCTGTGTTATTGATGTGCACCATTAAATACCAATCTTCTGCCAGTCTTTTGTTGTTTGTAATAAATGAAAAACAAAGATTTGCGTTTAACCAAACTCATATAATGAAAATCTGCACTGCTTAGATAGATAGATATTCTACTTTTTTTCATATTTGAAATTTTTGCAGACTAAAGAAGTCACATTTTGAAAAAAAAAAGAGAGAAAATAACACGTTTAATTGAAATCAAAAAAATAGAATGGTAGGAATTGTTATAAAAGATGTTAGAATCACAAGAAAATGTTGTTTCCTTCCAGGTAGTTTACTTCACAGCTACTTTTCCGTATGTAATGCTCCTGGTTCTCCTGATCAGAGGAGTAACACTGCCAGGCGCCTCCATTGGAATCCACTTCTACCTTTACCCCGACATCAATCGACTGTCTGACCCCCAAGTAAGTTAAAAAAAACAATACACTTGTGCTGAGGTGGTGAACAGTGGTTCACCTTGTCAAATAAAATATGTCCAGGCATGCAGATCAAATCTGGGAAACACAGCCTTTCATCTGTTCCACTAGACAAGTACTGACTGATCCATCTGCTAATTTGGCAAGACTGTGGCATCTGAGAGACAAGCTAATAAAATTTGGGTTAAGGAGAGAAACTTGATATAAACTGACTTAAAACCTGCTCACAATGCAGAGGTCCCCAGTCAAAGTCCAGCATCCTAAGAATCTATGAAAAATAAAAGAAGTAGGGTGAGGGTTAGTGAGTGTCAGAGCCACAATGCAGGATTAAACAACAGAGTATCTGTGAATATATTAAGAAGATGACTTTGAGTTCCAGCTGCTGGCAACCAAGCATATATAGAGATGGTTAACAAGAAGCATAAAATGTAGTTGTGATAGACGTGACAATTACAGCATACAGCAACATCAGGAAGAAGAAACACGAGAAAATAGACAAGTACCAGAGCCTGAAGGAACAACTGGAACAGATATGGAATATAAGGCCAAAGCATTTCCAGTAGTTACAGGAACATTAAGAGCTGTAACCCCAAAACTGGAAGAACAGCTTCAACAGATTCCAGGCTCAACATCAGAGAGTCCTGGGAAGAGCGAAGATATTGTGCAGAACCTTCAACTCCCAGACCTTTCGTAGACGGTTGGCCTGATCATGTACTTAATGGTTCACTGTGAGACTGGCAGCTTTTAACACCAAAAATTTCTAAACATATGTACTGAATCATCTTTAACGTTTTTGTTGTATTGTACATTTGTAATTTCTTGGAAAGTCACCACTGTTTACGAGAAATTGTCAGCATGACTGTTTGATCCATCCCATAGGCAAAGATGTGATTTCAGGTTCAGATAGATTTTCACTGCTTTGCCTTTTTGCTCTTAAGAAAAGCTTTTCAGATTTGTCAAAAGCAAACACCGGATAAAGCACTTAAGATTTTGAATTGAGTGCACTGTTACTTTGTGTTGTTCACTTTTATGGCCTCATAAAGTCACTAGCCACATTGGGGTGGTTGCTCAAAAAAAGCAAAAAGGAACATAACAGCAAGCTCAGTATCGAGCAGCACAATTAAAACAATAAAGCTTTGAAGGCTGTTACTGAATGGCCAAATTTGCATTCTATGTTTAGAATTTGACTTTATGTACTCATCCATCCACCTAAAGCTAACACAGTTACTCCACCCATCATCCTGTCTATCTGAAAAAAAGAGATAGAAAATATGTTTCTCTTGGCATTGAGACATTACCAAATTGAGAAAAGTTTCCCTTTTTAGCTTCACGCAGAAGACTGACACACTTAAGGACTAGCTGGAGGATCATTGAACAGCTAAAAGATAAAGCCAGTTATTGTAGGTTTATGACAGGGGTGGGCAATTCCAGGCCTCGAGGGCCGGTGTCCTGCAGGTTTCTATATCTCACCTTGGGTCAACACACCTGAATCACATGATTAGTTCATTACCAGGCCTCTGGAGAACTTCAGGACATGTTGAGGAGCTAATTTAGCCATTTAAATCAGCTGTGTTGGTCCAAGGACACATCTAAAACCTGCAGGGACACCAGCCCTCGAGGCCTGGAGTTGCCCACCCCTGGTTTATGATGAGGGACTGAATCCTGTCTCATTTTTGTGCCTTTAAACTAACTAAACAACTGGTTGCTTTAAACCGTTTTAACAATCACATGAGAGTGGGTTGGGAATATGGGTGGTAACAAGGACACTTGCAATTTCCTTTGTGCTTGCTTTTGTTTGAATTCCAAACACTCGCCCCACCCCTCCTTCATTGTCCTTTAGAGAATGAACACAAGCCACGTGTATACAGTCCTAGACAAGGCTGAGTGTAAAGCGTTTAAGAGTTCAAAATATCTGCCTTTGGTTGTAATGATGTGTCCAGAGTTACTGTCAGTCAGATCTTCAGTCCCGGCTGCCAGCTACCTTGAAAAATGCCTCAGTGCAGTGGGAGCATTTTACCAGAAAAGCAATTAGAAAGAGAAATCTCATTTACATGTTGAAGTGTGAGTGAGTGTTCCAAGAGTGCTCTGCTTTGTGCCTTAGATGTGGAAATGGCTTTACTAGGAAGCTCATGTCAGGGTTGTGGGGTGAGAAGAGATTTCAGAGATAGTAGCAGTACTTTTCTAGACTTTTTTCAAAATTTAAAAGGGACATGGGAGGTTTCGAAGACTGAGTTCACTATTTGCATTTTTGGGTGTGGTGCTGCCGTTGTGCAAAACAATCTTATCTTACCCTGATCACACAGTGATCTGGTGGGGCTGTATCTGGCCTTTTGTCCAGTGTCAACTGCTCCTGCAAACTGGATAAGAGGGCAAAGAGAATTTTATGGGTGGGTGTTAAAGGTTTCTTTTAATTCGAAGCAGAAGAAAGAAACAAAATAACAGCGAATGTAGTTCTTGCTTAATGTTATGGATTGAAGTCTGTTTCCAAACATTCAAACTGGACTGAGCCTTTCAGGAACACAGAAATATGCAAACCAAAATAATGTGTAAACTTGTCTGTATTTTCTTTGGTTGTCAAGGACATCGGATTATTCTGTTGGAAATATATTCTCTTATGGTCATCCCATTTTTTTCATACAGGGTAGGTTTGGTTAGATTGGGTTTTTTCCTTAATAAATTAAATCATCATTTGAAAACTGCGCTTTGTAATATTAAACTGTATTTGATCGTCTGAAACATGAAAATATGACAAATATTAAAATCAAAAACAAGAAAGAAATGATGAAGGGGAAAATATTTTTCACAACACCGTAGAAAGCTGATAAACATTCGTTTTTTCTTTTTCTGTCTGAGTTTATCCTTTTTTTTTTTTAAAGGGTCTTTAAAAATGTATTTCTTTCCTCATCTGGTTTCATTTCTGTTCAAAGGTATGGATGGATGCTGGAACTCAGATCTTTTTCTCATTCGCCATCTGTCTTGGCTGCCTCACTGCCCTAGGAAGCTACAACAAATATAACAACAACTGCTACAGGTAATGACTCTCTCTCTCTCTCCGTCTTTTGTCCAGTGACAAAAGACGCTTTACACTCATATATATATATATGTGAGCATATCAAGTAATTCTGTTCCATGTAATGTCAGTAATATTTTCAACAATTTATTTTCAGTGACTATATTCTTGTTGTGCTGTTTGCAGGGATTGTGTGGCCCTCTGTTTCCTTAACAGTGGTACCAGTTTTGTTGCGGGCTTTGCCATCTTCTCCATCCTGGGCTTCATGTCCAACGAGCAAAATGTGCCCATCTCAGAAGTGGCTGAATCTGGTTTGTAGTTCTTATATTATATAGATAGATAGATAGATAGATAGATAGATAGATAGATAGATAGATAGATAGATAGATAGATAGATAGATAGATAGATAGATAGATAAGATAGGTTTGTACATCAAGGTCCATGCCAGGGGTTGAGAAACCAGTAAATACTGATGTGGGTAGTGGAACAAAGCTAATATGGACAAGCACTTGCAATGTGGAATTGATGTAAAGCTACTAATCCAACTGAGAGGTCATATGCAATACATGGGAGTGCAATAGCGTTTGTAGCAGTTGAAGACAGCTACTATTGAAGGTGAAGATCCAGAGCCTATAGCACAGTGGGAGGTATCCAACATATAATAGCAGGATGTAAGATGCAAGTTGATGCAGTATATCCCAGCTGGGATAGTGTACAGGGACATCTGTGCACAATATAGACTAGATGTCCCCAAGTCCCGATAGGAGACACTACCAAGGAGAAAAGGTCCTGTGTTGCAGCCTTTGAGTTCCAGCTGCTGGCAACCAACCAGATGTAGTGGTAATCAACAGGCACAACATCAAAGGGTCTCCGTCCAGAAGAGCAAAGTCCTAGGAAAAGCTTAGATACTGTGCAGAACCTCCAACTCCCAGGCGGTTTGTAGAGGGCCCGAGTTTGAGGAACACACAGAGCTTTCATGTATCCATATAGATGTATATATAAAGATACGGTGTATTGATCAGTACTGCAGGATGTTTATTGGGTGTGAATCAATGCATGGCAGAATACAATTTTCTAAAGCGCAGACAGTTGAACTGAACATGTCAGTATTATATCAAAATATGTGCTTGATTGAAAAGAGAAACACAAATTCTAACTTCAGTGGGATTTCTGTGTACGACAGGTCCAGGTTTAGCCTTCATTGCCTATCCTCGAGCTGTGACCATGATGCCTTTTTCCCCTCTGTGGGCCTGCTTCTTCTTCATTATGATTGTATTTCTAGGACTGGACAGCCAGGTGAGGCCAGCATGTAGCAAAATAACCCACACAAGAACACATACAAAAAGAAAATTCAAATAATAGTCATATGAACACAATCCCAACTAGTAGCCTTTGTACAGCTCTGCTATTTTTCCTCAGTTGCTCAGTACCTTTTTATTAACAGCTGGTCTGTGCACATGCATACACAAATGCAGTACACAACATCAAAAAGTACGCACATCTCATAACTTTGGCTTTTTTCCTGATTAGTTTGTATGTGTGGAGAGCCTGGTCACAGCCGTGGTGGATATGTATCCTTCCGTCTTCCGCCGTAAAAACCGCAGGGAACTCTTCATCCTGGCAGTAGCAATAGTATCCTTCTTCCTGGGCCTCATCATGCTGACAGAGGTTAGTTTGTGCAATTCTTTCAGTTTTAATACATACATAATTTCAAAGTGATACTGAGCATAAATGCTACCAATCCATGGTCTTGTGAATTTAAGTGAAGTACTTACTGGGGCATTTTGTTTGGGTTTTTTTTTTTTATGATTTTTTTCCTAAGTCAGACTGTCGCCAAGCAGTCTGCCAAACTCATTTAAAGTGCCTGAGTTCACCTACTGTAGCTTCTCTTTAGCAACCTATTAAAATTCCTTCATATCCAGTCACTTGGCACAAATCATGCTGTGACACAGCCAACTGTGAATAACTTTTGTTGTTGGCAAATTGTTTCCACTTTAGTAAAATCCAAGCACATAATGGATAAATGACCTGAAAGCAATATTTTGCGTCATGCAGGTTGTGTTTCATTTGTTTTATCTTACACTTGTGAACTCATGTCTGTCTGTCTGTCTGTCTGTCTGTACCCACAGGGAGGCATGTATGTCTTCCAACTCTTTGACTACTATGCAGCCAGTGGGATGTGCCTGCTCTTCGTAGCCATTTTTCAGACAGTTTGCATCGGTTGGGTTTATGGTGAGTTTGTTATTTAAGACTGTGGGAACTTAAAAATGCTCAGTGCTTAATTTGCTAATAGAGACCATCCATAAAATGAAAGGTGTAGATTGATGGTTTCAGTTCAAAGGAATTAAAGAAATGATCATTACTAGTTGAAAATAACTGCAACTTGTTTTATTAAAATAATAGTGTGCTGGGGTTTTTAAGCTCTCTACTGGTCAGGGTGAATCTTGACACTGATCCAACTTTCCTCTGACCACAGGGGCAGATCGCTTCTATGATAACATTGAGGATATGATTGGCTATCGCCCCGGCCCTGCCATTAAATACTGCTGGCTTTTCTTCACTCCTGCAACATGCTTTGTGAGTTTTGCTTTATTAACAGTTCTCTTCTGAAAGTAGAGCAACCTCTGCTGGTCAAAATTAGAAATACATGTCAATAAAACTGGACTAATATCTTAAGATGATACCAAAATTATACAGTCAAAGTATTCACTGGTGTATTAAATGTCAGTTATTTATCAGTGTTATCATACTTTCACACAGGGAACCTTTGCCTTTGCCTTAATCAAGTACTCACCTTTGAAGTACAACAATGATTATGTGTACCCGTTGTGGGCGGATGGGATCGGCTGGATCCTGGCTCTGTCCTCCATGCTTTGCATACCCCTTTGTATGGCATTCAAACTGTACAATACCCCAGGAACACTGAGAGAAGTAAGTCCGAAACTGTTTGGATTTTTCTGTGCATATGAAAAAACTGGCACCTTAAAGATTGAACCACAGAAACAAAACCAGTCAGATTCGTCATAATTCAGTATTTTTGAATGAACAATAGTTCAATTTGTTTGCTTCTTTGTTACAGAAGTATGTATACATATCTCAAGAGCATTTCCTTTTTGCTTTACTTTGAAAAAGTTCTGGATCATCCGTTCACTATTTCTATTGTCTGAAATTGGCAGCTGCCATAGAATTCATCACAATATTTGAATATATTTATTTATATACACCGTTATTTTAAGTGAATAAAGGGAACTTCTATCTTCTGTTGGTTAAGGTATTCACCAAATAAGAATATTGTTCCAGGTTTTCAGCAGGAAAACATTGTAACTTACCATGCCCCCACCTTCCCAAAACCATGTCCCAAATGCAGACACAAGCAAGCAGGTAAATGAGCAAGAGTACCTTTTAATGAGTTTACAGATAAATGACAACTAGTCCTGCAGGCAGAGATGAAAGGAATCCATTGCAAATCCCACTGAGATCATTCCAGCAGGCAACAAGATGAATCCAAAGAGGTGGTAATACGGAAAATCCAAATAACTGGGTGAAATGAAATGATGGCACAGAGAGAGAGGGAGAGAAACAAGACACACAGAGTTCAAGTTTCAAAATCATAATGAATGTCTTTAAGTTAAAAAAAGGTTTATTAGAAATTGAAGAACAATCGATCAGTTTGTCAGACATCATATCACTGACATGCTTTGTTTTTTAATCAATTTTCTGTTCACAGCGTTTTGTTCTTCTAAGCACTCCTTCCACTGAGTTACCAAAGACAAAGCAGGAGCAGGAGGCACTCCATGCCATCTTTGCAGCAGACGGTGAAAGCCTCCATCAGAAAGCACCTCCCTCTCGAGATGGCTACGTCCCTGTTGGTGAAAAGGAGTCTCATTGCTAGAAGTTTGAGGATTGGAATCGGAGTCTATTTAGAGGTCAGTTGTCACTGTGAGGCTCTCAGTGACTGGCCCCATCACTGTTCTCTCTGTATTACCTCACAAGATAAGCTGGTGAAAACAGACATGTATGCAGACTTTTACAGTCTGCTCACCTGCTATTGGCTGCTGGAACTTTCTTCTTTGCATGTTGTCTTCAGTACACAGTGTTGTGCAAATATCCTGAGCTGCCCTTCATTTCTTTATATTTTGCTAGCAAAATGTGAAATGGGTGCAGTGATCTACTGAAACATGCAACCATACATGGTAATAGAGCATGTGAGGCAAAAAGTAACCTTTTAGTTCTCCAGGCTTCCAGAAGGATATTTAGATGTTCTTTGGCTGTTGGCTGTCTTTTGTTCCATTCTCTGTTAAGATGATCCCACACTGCCTCAGTAATGTTGCCTATGTGGAGGCCAATCCTTGACTATTAGTGTTCCACTGTGTGTTTTTCTGTCCAGGTACATTTTTACTGTATTGACAGTGTGTTTGGGATTACTACTAATCAGACATGTTCAAGATTGTATTACATGGTGGGTGAAAATTTGATAGTACTTTTTTGCTTTCATAATTCCATCATTTTTGACAAGATTCCCAGTACCGATGATTGAAATGCAGACCCATACCATGCTCCTTCTTTTTTGGCCACTTGTTCTGTTTCCTCAAATTTTTTAAGTACAAATTGCACACCATTCTAAGCTATGCTAGGTTTCCACGTAATAGGTTTTTAGGAATCACCTTGTTGGTGCAAAAATACTCTTTCTATGACAATACTGTTTTTGCAACAGGCAGCTAGTAAAGTGCCTAAAGATACTATTCAAAGTGAATTTTTCGCTAAGTTGTCTGTTGCGTGTAGACACAACACCGGTTAATACCTGGAGTTGGGCAACTTAGGTTTTTGCAAATAATTCACAGGTCAGTGTTAAACAGGTCATATATAAAAAAAAACATTCCTTCAAAAATAGTCAGGTCTAAGAATTGGGATGAATGAATGAAAAAGCAAACCATCTTCAGAAAGCCTGGAGATCAACCGCTAAAAAAATCAACAGTATAAAGAAACGATGGGGTGACTCAAGACTTTTGCACAGTACTGTACCATATGATGGCAACAGCAACATTACGCAAAGATTTACTTCCGTTATTTGAAAGTGGGTTGACATCTCATTTGCCTGTGGCAGAGTAACGTGACAATGTAAACACTGTTGTTACACAGTGGCAAAGAATTTACATTTGACTGTCTGCTTTCTAAGGAAGCATTTTCTTCTGTTGTGGACATCTCTAATGTTCAGTGAATCTCATTCTGGCTGCTTCATTAAATTTAACAGCCGTCTGCTGCAGACTGAGTGCAGGAAAGTGTCACATGATCGCACAGCTCACAAACCCCTCTGGGCTTAAATTAATCTGCTTAATGTATACAGAGGAGAACCACATTGTTTATCCACCAACAGTTGAGGTGTTCTCTCAGGATTGGTAAAAAAAAAAAGTCACAAAAAACATTACTACACAAGGTGTTTTAGTAACCAATGCTTCAGGATACAAAGACTGGTTACATTTCTACAGATCAACCCACTTAAACTCTGTTTGTTTATTTTTATCTTAACACTGTTTGTACCATTTTAAAGGCTTCTCTGTATAATTTTGGTCTGCTTTGGGCACTGCAGATTTGTATTGATGTTTTATATTAAATGTTTATGTTAAATGTTCAGATTCTTGACATGGATTTAATTTAGTCTTGTTTTAATGTGCCTTATGTCTAATTCTGGGAATGTATGAAATAAAGTTAAAAGGTACCCAAAGCAAAGGGACAGTTGATCCACTTAGATTATATCAGAAGTGAGTTCCAATGCAGGAGATTCATTCCAAAAAAGAAGAAGAAGAAGAAGCTTGTTATCTCTTTCTGCTGTATCGCAATGAACTTCAGCCTGTGTTTCTTTTTCTTTACATGTTGAAATGAATATATGATCACTGATTTTGGAGCATGAACACTTTTTGTTATAAGATTTTATACACTAAAACACTTTTTTTTAAATGAATGAATACAAATACCTTCATTTGGAACATATATTTCTACTACATGTGTATATTTTGTGGGACATCTTCAGTGAATTTGTGTTGACCTTGATTACAAATAAATGTTTTACATTTTAGCAATTGTGTATGTGATGCCTCATTTCCAGTTATGAACATTTATGTAGAATTTTACATTCAAATCACACAACCCAACCAGGACGTCTACGCTATAGGTAAAAAATAAATGCTGAATTTTATGTTTTGACAATTTAAAGTGTACTTAATCGTACTTGAAAAACATCATGAAGGTCAGTAAACACCCACAACATCACCTGTTCACACCTCTGCCCTCGGGCAAGCGCTACAGGAGTCTGACATCGAGGCCTAAAAGACTCAAACAGCTTCCGCCCACAGGCCATTAGACTCCTGAATAAAACAATTTACACAGTCCCTCTCTTACCTCATCACAGCTATAGAATGCAACTGTATTATTATGTTGTATTTATTATTGTCTGCTATCACACTAATCAGTACAGATCTCTTTGCAAACTTGCACAAGAATAAACAAAAAGCCTCAGGTCTCTGACTCATTTCACTGTTTGCTGATTTATTACTTGTACTTTCTCTGTGAATTTCTTGGACATTTTTATAATATTAATAATAATAATGTATACTTTATTGATCCCTGTGGGGAAATTCCTCTCTGCATTTAGCCCATTCACTCAGTGGGCAGCCATTGGGCGCCTGGGGAGCAGAGTGTGGGGACGGTACCTTGCTCAGGTGTGCCTCAGGGTAGCCGTTCAGTGGATTTGAAACCCCGACATTCCAGTCATGGGGCCACCACTCTACCTACTGAGCTATCCCTGCCCTTATTTACTCATTTTATTTATTTTTGCCTTATTACATTTTTATAACTTTATGCTATTTGTCATATCAGAATGTCTCTGACTGCTGTGTGAAGTGAGTCTCAGTATAAACTGTATTTCTGTATTATTATTATTTACATATGACACATATGACACTACTTCTGTTTCTAAACATCACCCCTGACACCTGTCTATGCCCGCTCCACCTTGCCTGCACTCTCTTCTTCACCTCTCTTGTGCACTGTGTGTTGCTTTGGAAGTCATTTAGCTCGCCTTCCTTCACTAAACCATGAACCCATCTATCACTCCTACCACACACCTCACCAATGTCTCACTCCTCTCATGCAGTGCCACCCTCATATACTTATGCTCCTAACTGATCGTTGCCCCTCTTCTAAACCCAGATTAAACAATTCTTTCCCATATCATAATGGTGTGACTCATCAGCTTTATCTCAGCACTGCACATCACCCTTCTTTTTGAAAATTGCTTATCCTTTCCCCAGACATCTGCTCACTCTTCATCACTGTGTTAAACTATCTAGTCAAAACTCCACTGCCCTCTCTTCAGGACATATTCATACTTCTACAAGTTTGTCATCTGGAAGCACTACCTTTGCACTCTTTGCCCACCTCATAGTTGCCCTCTCCTACCTTACTGAGCCTCTTCACTTCCTGATTCACAAACAGTCCTCTATCCTCCCCCTCATTTTCTTCATTAATCATCCCCTCAGTGTACTCCTTCCACCTTCTCAGCACACCCTCTTCATTTGTTTGTTCAGTATTTTTTTGTAGATTGTATTGTCATGATCCTTTTATTGTTTTATATTTACTACTTGTGAATAATCTTTCTCACTATAGAATGATGGACTATTTGGAAGTGGCCTCATAACCCTTCTCAGACTGGTGGGCACCGACAGTTGGTTGCCTGGGATAATTTTTGATGTTTTCCCTCTGTGGAATTATGGTAGCACACACCTGAATGCTCCGATGATCACATAATCAAATGCCTTTGATTGACATGACCTCTTAATTCCTCTGAAAGCCATTAAGGTGTGCTTAAATTTTCATGTAGACTGTGTTTCTGCATTTTTGGCTTAGTTTTTCATCAATAAATATTAATGACACCATGTGATATATCATGTTTTGTTCATGTCAGGTGGTATTTAGCTAATTTTAAGGCTGGAGAGGTCAGACAATATTTTATTTTTAAATCTCCTGGTATGTGAACCTGTAGAAGTGAAAAAGGGCGCACTTTCTCTTTACCATGACTGTAGATGTCATATGCCGCTACACATCATCAGCATGAGAAATCGATGCATATATGTACAACGCCGGAGTGTTAGTCAGTATCAGCCATCATACCAGGTATTCCAGGCAGATGCATATGCACTCCCGGTTGTAGTTTCTTATCATTTTCTGTCTTATAGTACACATATAAAAATGTAGAGGTTTATGAATTTAGTTTTAGCCCTTGGCTCTTCAAAGTAGAAGACATTGTCTTACATCAGTATAAAGAATGACAGGCATTTAACAAACTCAAAAACAAAACATCAGAATCTCTTATACAAGAAAGTATTTATAGGCAGTGACCCTGAGGAGATGGTATGACTAACACAAAAACTTCCTCTGTCGTTTCTTCAAAGTGGTGAAAATCCTCAGAAATATTAGTGAATTGCTTGGGGTATTCTCTTCTAGTGTTTTGACAGGATTCGGCATGTGGTCCTGAAGTAAAATGTCACAATTTGACATTTAGTGTCAGAAGTGTGAGTTACTGGAAAAGGTGAGGTACAGGCTGGAGTCCAGCACCAAGCTATTTGGTGTCAATTACTTGGTGTAACACCAGGTAAATGTGTTCTATAGCTGTTTTGATACAGAAAACACTGAATTAATCTGGTTAATGATTGGTTTAACAGAACCAATATGTTCGAAAGTAATAATTCCACTCCAATTGTAAAAGGATTGTTACTGTGCTTCTGATAATATTGGGGTTGTTTTTCCACTCTTTTCTTGGCAGTTAAATGAGTCTAAGGTGTGAAACTTTGCACTCCACCTCCCCAAAGACAAAATTGCATTCCTTAGCAAGGCAGCACTGAAAGCAGCCGGTGAAGGGATCCATGTGAGATGCAGAACAAAGACAAAAATTTACATATTTATTTTGGAAATAAAAAAATCTGAACCTGGATAAAAAGAAAATCAGAAACTTGGTGCAGCTTTAAGTGGAAACTTACAAGCAGTTCTGGGTGACTGTAGACTGTAGATATATTTTTCTTTATTTTTCTTTTTATTTATCTTACAAACAATAGACACGGTGAATAATGCTCACGATTCATTTTCATGCATTATATCTTGTGATAACAATTAACTGGGAGGCACATTTATGTTTAAAAAGTGCCATTCATGAACCGATAGCTTCTTTATTTAAGTAAATGCAGTGACTACATTGATGTCAAGACAAACTACTCACAAATGCTTGTCTATTTAATTGCTGAATTAATGCACAATCAAGTTAAACATTTTAGGTTATATTCAGTTAAATTAAACCTTAATTAGTCAGTTAAACGTATTTCTTAAAATAATAAAATTGTTGATATTGTCAATAATCGGTTTTTTTTTTTTCTTGTTTTTGTAAGCACTGCAAAGACATTTCTAGACAGCCTCCTGCAGCCTCTTTCCGGGCCAATAGGTGGTGTGTGTGGACAGGTAACCGAGCAGAAGCGCTGATACCGTGGTCCAGATCAGACTACTGTGTGCTTCGTGGCTATCTGTCTGTGCCGATCTCTTCCTGCAGGGGTCGCTGCAGTCACCTGCATACGCCACTGTTTACGGAAGTCCAAGTGACGTGTCAGTGTCCAGCGAAGCATTGTGGGAAAGAAAGTGGAGCTGACACGGCCGCTGATGGCAGACTGCTCAATTTAGCAGATATCTTCGACTAGTAAGCAGCCGTAAGAAGCAGAAATTTAGGGTAACGATGCGACTCCTTGAAGCTAATGTCAGCTGGCTGTGAGGAGGTCGGACTTATGCCGGTGTCATCGCTGCTCACCTGCGCACGGGCGCTCGAAGCACAGAAGTGGGATCCCGTATCAATGGACCGCAGCGTTTTTATTTCCTTTTCCGAGGGAGGCGAATAAAGTAGTGACGGATTATATCCCC